CAGACATGTCACAGCATATTGTTTCTTTTTCTTTCTGTGCTTTGAATCGCCTGTGTAAAAACACATTTCTAAATTCTGCATCGGCACAGCTGGTGGCAGCTGCTGAGCTCTGCAGGGATCTCTGAGCTCTCAGGGAGCTCTTTTGGGGTGTCTCTGACAGCAGCTGTTCCCCAGAGCTCCTGTTTGCTTTCTGCCCTCATTCCTGACCTTATGATGCCCAAAGGGGTTCTTGGAGAGCTGGAGAGGGAGTTGGGACAAGGGATGGAGTGACAGGACAAGGGGAATGGCTTCACTCTGCCAGCGGGAGGATTAGAAGGGAAATGGGGAAGGAATTGTTCCCTGTGAGGGTGGCACGGCCCTGGCAAGGGTGCCCAGAGAAACTCGATGCTCTGGCAGCATTCAAGGCCAGGTTGGACAGGGCCTGGAGCAAGCTGGGGTGGTGGAAGGTGTCCCTGCCCATGGCAGGGCTGGCTCTGGATGATCTTTAAGGTTCCTTCCAACCCAAACCATTCCACGATTCTATAAAGACAACGAATCCCGCACAAACTCGGAGCAAACAGAATATTTAGGTCGTGTTGGATTCCTGTGGGCTATGCCGGGTTCACGGGCAGAGGGAACAGAACAAACAGCGATTTCCAAGTGGGATTTATTCATTATGGATTAATTGTGGGGGCTGGCGGAGGGCAGAGGCACCACCCGGTTCTATGGTGTAATGGTCAGCACTCTGGACTTTGAATCCAGCGATCCGAGTTCAAATCTCGGTAGAACCTGCCCCCGGTGTCTTTTTTTGTGCTTCAGAGCCCAGCAGGGACAGAGCGGACACGGTGAAGCTCTAGCCCAGCCCAGGGGTGTCCTCACCCTCAGCTGTCACACTCTTCCCGATTTTCTTCAATGCAACGAAATTGATAAAAGACTTCATATAATTCCTGCTACTTTTAAATTAGGTGTTTCATTGTATTTTACTGCTGTTTTACATTAAGTACTTTTGGGGGTACATTAATTTTTAAAATTAATTAAGTACATTTACACTGTGGAAAATTTCATCAGGCAGATGTGCAGAATTTGGATGTTATTTTTAAGTTACTTTCCAACTACTCTCTTGGAAAATAAGGGCAGAAATGCAGTGTTTTTTGGGATAATTTGCACAATTTAAATGGATATTCCCTCTGCTTCGCTGACACAAACCCTCAGTAGTTATCTTTCATTTCCAGAGCAGTTAAGGACATCTTACACCTTGGTCCCCTCCTCCAAACCTGTCCTACTAGTCACTTGTTTACACAGCAACAGGAGCAAGCCTGCTCTGTTCACCAGCTCCTCCTCCTCTGGCCAGGTAACCCTTGAAAAAAAACACAGAACACCTTCAAATCAAGTTATTATTTAGTAGAAATCCAGGTCCCAGCTGCTGAAGAGAACATATGGAAATGTTTGCTCGATTCATTAGATTTTCACACAACCTAGTGATGAAAAAAATCCCTTTTCTGTGTCAGGGCTCATTTTCATCCTTTCCTCACCTGCTGGATCAGGTCACACACAAAGATCTTTTCCTGTGCAGCAGTTTTGAGTTTCTCTGCCCAGTGACTGAGCACAGCCAGCCACTCTCACAGGCTGCCCTCACACCCCTCAGAGCAAGAGCTTTAAAGCCACAGGGCTTGTCTGCCCTGCAAGCAATCAATATATTAACAATTTTAGAGAGCTAATTACCATTCATCTGGACCTTCCTCCTTCCATTTCACAGAGTTTGAGGTGCAGCTGTAATCCAAAGTGTCCCATGAAGTGCCAATACAAAATTGGTGCCACAGATGGGCCCCAAACAAACCCCCTGGGTGTAACCAGGTGTACTTAAAGAGTTAAAATTTTACATCATGGAATGACACAGAACCAGTGCAGAATTGAGTACTGAGATTTATTCACAATTCATGGTCATGCTGCACTGCAAAACAAAGCACCAAAATTTGGGTAAATGAGCATCATCCGGGTATAACCCAGCTGAGACTGCTGCATTTGGGTGTCTGCATTGCTCTGGGGCACAGCACAGCCCAGGCTGCCCAGGCCCTTGGGGGACACACACAAATGGTGCTGTGCTGAGGGAACCCTCCTGCAGCAGGCAAAGGCACTCACAACACCCTGGAGCAGCCTCAGAGCAAAGCACCAGAACCCCAAGGATCCAGCACCTGACATGCTCAGGTCAAGAACATCCCAGGACAATTTTATTAATTCATTTACTGTGTCCAATTCCTTTCCCACAGTCCTTCCAGTTTATAATTTTCTAAAAATCCTCTTATCCCAGCACAAAATTCAAGGGGGAGGTAAAGCACTATGGCTGTGGCCATGTCAGGAGCTTTTCCTGTTGCTGAAGAGGCAGTGGCAATAGAAATTATTATGAAATCAGGGAATTAAAATATGCTGTAATTTCAGAGGTGTGGCTACAAACACATATTGTCAACATTAATGGACTTTCCAATTCAAATCCAGAATACAATCTTAGGCAAGTATTTCACTATATATGAAGCTGCAACAAGGTTCTCTGATATAGATTAAAATTTCAATGCAAGCAGGTGAAGGGGGAAAGATTAAAAGGAAAGGAAAGTTCTATCCTGTAAAACTGGCACTTTAAGAAAAGGCCTTTAAAAAATTAAAACATTTTACTCCAAAAGTCTTAAAAAACAAAAGCTGACCAAAAAAAGAAACCAACCCAAAAAGACAAGTCTCAATTGGTTAGGTGATTAAATGATAATACATTTAATACATTCTGTGTAGCCTGGTTTAGCACAGGAGACATTCAGGGAAGTGATGGAAAGGTTTGTTATGCAAAACCAAACACCACTAACAAGCTCAGTTAGGTGCCTTCCTTATCTTTAAAAAAGAATTCTGCAGCAGACAAATCAACAGCTCTGCACTGTGACTGCCCCAGTAGGTTAAAACCCTTGAGCAGATGGAAGGAATGGGGGATGCAGCTGAAGCAGGTTATTGTGGACACTGAGCCAGTGCTTTCCCTGCAGTGGCAGCAGAGCAGACTGATTTCAGCCCATTGCTGCTCCCCCAGCAGCACAGGCACTGAGCCCTTCAGTGCAAGCACTGAACAAGGCAGCCCCAGCCCTGGGAGCATCCATCACCCTGCACACACAGTTCAGGCTCTGCTTTCACAACAGCAAGGCAGCTCTTGGGAAGTTGACTGAAGATTTCCTCAGAAAAGCAAACTGGTTTTGTACCATTGCACCCAGTAAACACACAGAAAAAACAAACACACTGTACAAAGAGCAGCAGAGATATAATTTAAACATGCAGCAGCTACAAACCATATATACAGAGAAACAGGCCTATACAAACAGAACAGGACCATTTATTACATTACAATTCTGGGGGAGTTTTTGGAGGAAATCACAGCAGATGAACAAAATCAGACCCAAGGAGGTGGATGTTGCTTCTGAAAGTTTGAAATGTCACACAACCCCCCCCCGTTTCTCCAGCACACACATCTATTACCCTTCCAGCTGCACACAGCTCTTCCCACAGCTCCTGGACTCCCTTCCTGTACAGAGGTAGATTTCTGTCGATGTTCTGATATTGCACCACAGTAAATATGGTTCTTATCACAAGGAACAACTTGCAAAGGCTAACTTCTATAATTCATGGGCATCATCTCATTGTGGGCATTCAGGTAGTGCAGTAAATAAATGTGCAGTTCAAAGAAAATTCCCTCCAAGTGCAATGGTTTGTTATTTAGGTGGAGGTCCAAGGGAAAGCTGCAATTTTGAACAGCTTCCCATGAAGAGAGCTGGTTTTTATCAGCAGGGTGACACTTCACTGTCCCTCTCCTTTTCAGCCTCCCTGGTGTAGCCAATGCCAGCTCTTGCCCTGCCTCCCCTGATGCTCCATCCCATTCCACTGTGTCCAGTTAAATGTGCATTTTAAACACTCACAGGTTTCTGCAGCAATCATACAAGCAGCAGTAACATTGAAGAAATTGGCAAGAAGATTGATTCAAACTGCATGAAATGGTTAAAAAAGCCCATCCACACTCAGGCTGCATAAGGAAAGCTAGAACTTTGCTAGCTTCAAACAGCCATTAATTGTGAACAGATCTGAAGAAGTCTGGCAGGAGTCTTAATTTCTTTTGTCCATCACATTCTTGAATAACTCTCTGACAACTGGGGAAGTTGCAGACAAGCTGAATGGCAGTACCACTTCACAATGTCTGTTAAATGAACCTCTATAGCAGATTTATAAAAATAAGTGCATCAAAAATCATGATGCCAACATCCCATAACTCTGATGAGCTCACAAGCAGCATTGCTCAGTAGTTTTTCTCAGAGGCACCCCAGGAAGTTTTTTTCTGCAGAAGTCTTTCAACATGGAGACAAATGAAGGAACAATCTGGGCATGTTCCACTCTCAGAGAGAAGCCAAAGCAAGCAGCACCACTACTCCTGGCTGCAAGCTTGGCAGAAAACTTATATGGGAAGAAAGTTCTCTTTTTGTAGCAATCAACCTATTTGGAACTATTTTAAATGAACCATTTAGCATTAGTTTCCCAGATTCAGTTTGTGTGAAGCATTCTGTGACACTACATCAGTAAGAAATGGTGGCTAGCTTGGAACTGAGTATTTTTTGCTGAATTATGGATACAAGGCTTATAGAAATTCATTACATCTCTCCACATACTCACTTGTCCTTTAAAAGGGCTTTTCCTTACCAAGGTAAGTAAATCCCAACTGCATCAATACTGAAATTCCTGTGTTGACAGGGACTGCAGACCTAGAAGTAAAATCATCTCACCCTCTTGGAGGAGCCCATTTTGTGCAGTGAACCTTCACTCCAGGGAGCAACTTGGTCAGGAATTCCACTCCCTGTCCCAAAGGGCTCGTGTACCTTGCAAGATTAGAATGAAGAAATCCACTGTGTGCAGGAAATGACAAACAGTAAAATGAAATGCCAGTGGCAGGAGCCAGGGCTCTGGGAGTTGTGGTTTTGCAGAGCAATGGTTGTGCCCAAGCAGCCCCAGCTGGGCAGAGCTGACTGAGCCAGAGGTTCCATGGGTGCCCTGCAGCCCCAGCCCAGCTCTGCAGTCGTTACCATTTGATGTCCAGGCTGCTGGTGCTCTGGTTCACTGCACTGTAGGAGGTGTGCAGAGTGTCCTGGGCCTTCTTGGAGTCCACGCCCTCCAGCCAGTCCTGGTACATCCTCTGCACGTGCAGGTTGGCCTCTGGCAGCCGGACAGGGATGGCAGTGTACACCTCCTCCATCTGGGCCAGCAGGGCTCTGTCTGCTTTGCCATCCTCACTCTGGGCCTGGCCCTTCCCATTGAGGCACCCTTAGGGAAAAAAAGAAATTAAAAAGATGAAAGTGATGGAGATTTGATATGAAAAAAAAAGTCTCTGCTAACTCAGAATTCTTTTTTCACACTTCTCTAAAGGAAGTTTTTTTTTAAGCTTCCTCCCACACTGTTACAATTTGTATTTACCTAAAGTGACTCCAATATCAACTTCATCTTAATGGAAATGAGGTTTCCATATCACAAATCTTTCTCTGCATTCTCCATGGTTTTATGATCCTAATTATGTTCCTTGTCTTTTCTTGCCCTTGACAGCCACCATTTCAGAGCATCCTCTGAGGTTTGGCAGTGCAGTGCTGGCACTTATTTATAGGTCACAAGAGAACAAATATCATCCTGACTCATTTTAGAAAACTCAATCACTTTCTGAGCCAAGCCTGCACCTGTAACTGGTGTTTTGGGCCCTTCAACAAACAGTGAGATTTTAGATTATTAAGAAGAGAATGAAGAGGGAATGAAATGAAGTGCCTGCCTGTAAGGCAGCTTTCCTTTGAGATTCAAGACACACATGCAGAACAACTGCAGATCCACAATTATCTTTACCTCCTGGGCAGGCAAGGACTTCTACAAAATGGTAGAGAAACTTTCCTTTTTTCAACTTCAGGACCATGTTTTGGATATTCCTGAAGCCATAAGCTGCTGCAAAACGCAGCACTGTCTCCCCATCCTTTTCAAGGGTCACTTCTTGAAAGTCCTTGTTCCTGGCAAGACACAGAGAGAACATTTTAACCCCTGCATTCCCAGAGGAACCACCCAACTGTGCCAGTTTGTATTCAGCTGCTCCAAAGGGAGCAGGACAAGTGTAACAGTGAGATCAAGGTGAACTCTTCCATTTTCTGAACTGAGTTAAGCAGAAATTGAGGTGGAATCTTTGTAATGCAATTATACTTTATTTTTAAGTGCAGGTAAGGTTTAATAAAATGAGCACCAGCGGGAGCTGCTTTAAAGTGAGAGACCTGCAGGTTTAGAGCAGGTTTAGAGCCTGTAGCTGCCCGTCAGACCAGGTCAGCAGTGACTGCTGTCACCACCCAAAGCAGGGGGAGTTCCTGAGCTGCAGGAACCAGCTCCTGCCAATGCCCCAAGGCTCTCAGTGCCCAAGGGGCATTTGGACAAAACCCTCAATAAATGCTTTATCTTTTGGTCCAAGTGCTCAGGCAGTTGAAATAAGTGACTGCTGTGTGTCCCTTCCAACTGGAAATTCCCCTTTCTGTCCTAGCTCACCCATTGTACATAACAAGGGTACAAAAGTTGAACTTACTTTAGTGCTTTGTAGGTGATCTCCTTGACATCCACACCAAAAAGCTCCTTTGCAGCATGTTTAAAAATGTGCTCGAGGTAACCATCAGATCTCTTGCCATCATGCCTTACTACATCCCCCTCCTTTAAGCCATCAAACCTTAGGGAACAACAAAATGGAAGATCAGCTCCAAACATTTAATTCTTTCACTTCAGTAAAGCAGTGTGTTTCTCTTCTTCTCTGTCTCCCCCACCAAAAAGTGTTTTGTAGCACTGAGAACACATTCCATTTTCATTTATTACAGCTTTTAAAATGTAAATTATTCAGGACAGCAGTAAGACAATGAAATTCATGTGATTTATTCTTGCTTCATTCACATGTTCCTGGTTAAACAAAGTATGTTAAACATTCCTGGTTAAACAAAGTATGTCTCCAGCTAAGGTGAGATATTGCTGACAACACTTAGTAATATGTGACCAGGTTGATTTACATATCCTCTTATCTTTCAAGATATAAGAAAAAATTTAATTCCTTTGACACTGCTAATAATACATAAAAATACATAAAAATCAATTAAAAATATGCAGGGCTTTCCATATTGTGATGAAGGTGCATTGTTATCAATTACTGTTGCTTGATATTTCTCAATCTGAAGATTTTGTTAACAACCTTTTACTGCTCAAGAGCCATTCTGGGAAAAAAAATTATTTAAATAAAATTATTTAAATAAATGGACATTTTTTGAGAGAATAATTTGTGAGAATACAAAACTACTTCAGAAGTTCAAGTCTTTGCTGACAGTTCTGCTTTAGGAACTTTTGTCACACTGTAACACTGTGCCAATGAAATCACACAAAATTGGCAGAGCTGCAACCAGGTTAGAACAGTGTACACTGAAAATAAGTGCTGCACTGTGGCTCAGGAGAGAAAATGGGAGCTCATCTGCTGGAAGTTCTCCTCTCCCCCAGGTAAAAGCAGCTCTGAAGGGCCCCCATTCACACAACTCTTTAATACCCAGCACTTTATCACAACTTGCTGCTGTGCTGGGGCTTGTTTCAAGAACATGACTCCAAGTTGTTTCAATTTCTCTGCAGGATCTGCTTTAAAGACCCCAGAAGAGCAAGAATTTGTGTCATTAGGTCTCACAGCTGAACCAGGATTTTCAGATTGGTCCTTGTAAAAATTAACATTATTTTCCAACACAAATGGAGGGCACTTGGCTTGTTCAGCCTGGAGGAGCCTGAGGCCAGAGCTCAGCAGGATCTGCAGCAGCTCCTGAGGGACAGCTCCAAACTCTGCTCTGGGACAGGGACAGGACCCATGGGATGGCTGGGGCTGTGCCAGGGGAGGTTTGGGTTGGATTTTAGGGAAGGTTCTTCCCCAGAGGGTGCTGGCACTGCCCAGGCTCCCCAGGAATGGCAGGGACAGCCCTGAGGCTGCCAGGGATGCCCAGGGTGGGGCTGTTGGGCAGTTTGGGATGGATTTAGGGAAAGGTTCTTCCCTAGAGGGTGCTGGCACTGCCCAGGCTCCCCAGGGAATGCCAGGCATGCCCAGGGTGGGGCTGTTGGGGTGGCTGTGCAGGGCCAGGGGCTCCACTGGGTGATCCTTGAGGTCTCCTTCCAGCTCAGGACATTCTCTGATTCTATAAACTGAGCTAATGAACCAGCATTAATGAACAGCTTGTCCTTCACTGGACAGGCTGACACAGAATTAAAAGCCTCTCTCTGTGTGATCCTGATACAGAACTACATGAGTGTCTGTGATTATTCCTGCAGGAACTTTATTCATTCTCATTCTGTGACAATCTCAGGTAGAAGCAAAGGAGCTGCACTACAAGCACAGCTCTGATCCACTCCAGTTTCTCCCCTCTAGGTCCAAGCAGGGTTCCAGCTGGAACTGAGGAGGATTTTTCAGAACTTCCAGAGCTTTCTGTTTTGTGCAAGACAGCACGTTCATTGCTCCTTTGGAAAGGCCCCAAGGAACATCTGTCCCAGCTGAACAAAGATCAGGGAGAGAGAGCAGCCTCTGGAACCAAATCTGAGAGTTAAACACCACACAGGCTGCTCCCTGAGCCCAGCATAAGGGATGGAAACAAAACCTCTCCAGTGCTTTGTGTGCTACTCATCCAAGCACAGCTCAGTTTGATCTAATCTTGAAAACTGACTGCTGTCCTCAGTATAAAACCAATTCATTTCCATTTCCTGAAAGGGTGCTGCTCCTGGCAACGCACATGAACATATTGGGGAGTGGAATTTACTGCCAGGATGGTGCTGTGAAACAGAGGGAGCCCAGAGCAGATGGTCAGGCCAGCACAGGCCTGGGGCTCTGCACAAGGAGCATACAGAGCTCTCAACAGGGCCAGCACCCCCAGCCAGCCTCACTGCCAGCAAGGCTTCACCTTCATGCAGTCACATCATTCATTACTGCAAATAACCTATATTTATCAATAAATTAATAATAATTCTTAAATATCAATCAGACGCTACACAAATCTTCAAGTCATATTTTAAAATATTTACTGTATAAGGGCCATTACCTCAAATGATCTGCTTTGTATTCAGACAGTACATGCAAATTTATATTGTCTGTTTTATATTACTTTTATATATAGCAAGAACATCTAAGAGAATATTTTTGTGGGTTTGGCCACTCTATAAGTGTGAAGCTGTGGTATATTCAGGCTTTAGTGCAGGTTTTTTCCTCTAGAAAGAAAAACCATTCTTCTGAGCAGTTTTACATTTATGTTGTGTGGGAAATGGGTTTATAGAAAATTCTCAAAGGTTGACAGAAAACTCACAAAGTGTACACCTGTATGCAAACCTTAAAATAAGAAATACTGACTTAAAAATACCATAGAATAAACCAGATATTGTTAAGAGAGAAATTGAACTAAAAACAAGTTCAAAGGATGACCTTACAAATAAAGACTAGATACTTTAGAGAATAAAACCATAAAAATGCATTGTAGTAAGATCCACAAGGAGTAATTTTAGATGATTGACTTTAAGACATTTACAACACAGTTCAGCTAAAACTGATAAACCAAAATGCTTATAGTGTATTGTAATTAAGAAATAGTTGGCTTCTGATTGTGATACAATGAATTATAACATCTGTATTGTCTCACCCTTCAAATGACACTGAAAATAGAATAAAAGTTTTTAAAATGCCTCTCAGTTGCCCCATCTCTAAGTCAAAAAAGAGCTTTATCCAACAATGTTGAATGTGCTCCAACACATCATTTGTCATCCAAACAAGGAAGCAATCCACAACAAAACTACTTACAAACTATCTACAGCTACTTCAGTCACATCTTTCATTGACACATTTTTCTGTTCCATTATCTGGACAATTTCACCTGTAGGAAAACACATGAATTTCACTTTTATCACAAAGCACAACACCCACTGTGCCTCTGCTTCAGAGAGCAACATCCCAACACCTGCAAGTGCTTTGTGGCACATTCTCCAGCTCCTGCAGTCACCTCGCTCCTGACAATTCCTGCCCCAAAGAAAAGGGGCCCTCAGCCTGCCCAAACCCTGCTCAGATCCTCAGCCTTCCTGTTAGGCCAAGTCTGGAAATATCCAAACTTGGACACTAAGGCTAAAGACAAGACCCTCACCAAAGGGCAACTGGTGCTATGAATGAGGAATAATTCCTAATAAAATAATGACCATAGACAAGCCAGACAATTGTTTTAAATATGGATTTGCATAACTTGTACCTTCTTTAACAGGCTGTCAAAATACCTGATTTTTTAGATGAATAGCAACTTAGAAGGAAAGGATGTGTCACTCTGCCCTCCCTGTGCAGTACCTGTATTACCAGGAGCACAAAAATATGTACTACTTTTTAAAGCCAACCTTATGACTAAAGCAGACTTGAAAAAAGCAAATTCTGGCAGAAAGGCTATTCTAAAAATGGTGATTCACTTTTATATTTATAGATTATAAGTTTAAAAAAGTTAACCTGATGTCAGGACACAATCAACTTCTGCTGAATTATACAAGGCAGTGTAGAAATCTTCCCTCAAGGCTTCCAGCTTTTTGTCATAACAAGGTGCCACGACTACATGGAAAATTTTATCAGGAGACAAATTCTGTGGAATACAGAAGGGAACACACGTGAACTCCATGAAGGGCAAAAGGCAGCTTGAAGGATGACAGGCACAAAAATAGTGACATAAACCTCATGCAGGCAATACCAGGAATAAGTCCCTACATTAAATTTAAAGAATGTTCACACAGATAATGATTTGCCAGAAGTCACAAAGCATCAGCAACAAACTTCCAAAGTCCTGGCTGGAGCAAATTCCCTCAGCCCACATTTTCTGCAGCTTTTTATTGTCTGAGAAAGTGGATACAAGTCAGGAGTTCAGAGTTCTGGTTCCTGGCTGTCACCCACTCACTTTCACCCACAGCAAGCCCTTCACAATTTGTCTGTCCATGTGCAACCCTTCCCTACAGAACGTGGCTCCTTTGAGGTATGGGATGGAAAGAACAGCACTTTTTTCAACATACAAAACTGAGGAGATAAAAAGGTTAGCTCCAAGGATACAGTGCTTTTATTGAGCTCAGGTCACAGGGCAATTTCCACATTATTCTCCTCCACTCCTGTTTTGGCTCTGCTGTAGAAATACACAGGCAGCATTTCACAAAAAACCCTTTAACTGCTATGGATTTAACTTTAGCCATAAATATCTAAATCCAGGCTGCACTGGGGGTGCAAGGACTGCTGCCAGCTCACACTGATGGGAGGGAATGATGGAGGGAAATCATGGAGGGAAATGATGGAGGGAATGAGGTGCTTTGTACATTCCTCTCATCATGGGCACTTGTACAGCACAGAGCACCATTTCTTCTTCAAGTAAAGGACAAATATAATACACTAAGATCTGTATCTCAGTGTTAAAACACATCTGCTCTATTTAGAATAATATAAAGGTAACAATAAATCAGAATGACTTACCTGCTGCCTGGCAAAGTAGCCCTTCACTAGGGAGCCCATGATCTGCTGTGGGGACTTGGCAGTGCAGATGTGAGAGGTGACCAGGTTGGTGAGCACCCTCTCAGCATAACGGATCCAACCTGGGAGCACAAAAACATCCCAGGCACAGAGGAGTGAGCCACGAGCACAGCAAGGGCAGCAGTCACACAGCACACCCTGAAAATGGGGACACCCTCACACCAGGGAGGACATGTCTGTGTAGGCTGGGAGCCATAGCAAACCTCAGGGCTCTGTTAATAATGCTTTAGTCAATAATTCACTGTGCCAAGAATTCTAGACCAAGGTCCACTGTGAACTTCATGACCTGCTGCCCCTTCCTCATGCACAGATTTAACAAAGCAGAAAGAACAAGACCCCAGCTAGCAGAAATTTGACCTTCTAGACCTCAGCCCTTGGATCACCACATTCTACAACAAATGCACTGTTTGGCTGCTTAACTGAAACCTGCTATTTCCTAAGATTTAACATCCCTGCACCCAGCCTGCTCCCCCAGAACAGAAGAGTCACATGAGAGCATTATCACAAGATGCACATGGATTAAGCCTAGGAAAAAAAGGCTTTTTTTACTATTGTTAGAGTAGCCACACCTTCAGAAACACCCCCACACTCACAGGAGCCACCTGGAATCTCTCTGTGTGCAACACCCTGTCCTCAGCTTCTCAGGAACTCCCTCTCACCAATCCCTTCAGCATTCCAGCTGTGGATACCCACAGCACCCAACATCCAGAGCTGCTGGATTATTCCCCCAGTAAATGAACAAATCAAGGTATTTAGGCTGTGTAATTCTTTCCTGGGCTCTGGAGCTCTCACTGAAAAGCCCAAAATCCTTCACAGCAAAGATTTGGAGCTTTTTTCATCTACATGACACCTACACTGTGCAGCAGGAGTTAGGCCCAGCCTTCAAGGCAGGTGTGCTGCTTTTGCTGCTAAGAAATAGTGGAAAAAAACCCCCACAAACACATTTTGTCTTCATGCAAATCAGTGATTACATAAAAGAGAAACTGCTGTGCAGTACATGCTGCCCAGGAAGGAGAAAACCTGGAGGTTAACTTTTAAGCTTGAAATTACCACTTCTGTGAAAACACCTGGTGCTGTTCAAGTCTCAACAATACCACAAATGCCAACAGCAGCACAAAACTGGGATGCAAAGCAGCGTTCAGATTGTCTCTGTGTAGCAGAGAAAAAGTTTTAATAAGATATAGTTGTATAGTTGAAATAGTTGTAATAAGATTTTATTGATGAAAACAAGAAGGTGCTGAATATTATGGAAACCCAAGGATCCTCCAGCTGTTTAAATATTCCCAATTCTTGTTCTGCACAGACTTCAAGCTGGTTTCCATAAAAACCTCAAAGGCACACATCATCTTCACCAAGCACTCATTTCTGCTGTAGGAAAAGCTGAGGACCATGGATTTGTCTATTAGGACTGTACTGAATTGCAAGACTGAACTGAAGTTTGCTTAATGTCCACCTTCACCTGGGACTTTAAATCACAGACATTACCTACAAAAAAGCTGAATTTATTGGTAAAAATCTCTATTAGCATATTCTGCCTGATAGGTACATCCTATTGCCTAAATGGCTTTAGTCTCTGTCCAAACAGAACAAAAACTGCTTCATCAAGCAAAACAAGGACAGTTTGTAAAATACTTGTACTCATCATTAATCACCCCAGCACTCCTGCTATGAGGCTGGTTCTTATAACTGGAATGTTTTTGATACTGTAGTCATGACCTATAAGGAAATTTCCCTAAATCCCAGGAGATTTCTGACAGGTATTGTCTGAAGCAATTCCTTAAATTGTTTCTGTCCTTGCAGTGGATGGAACAAGTGTCTCACAGCTGCAGCTCCCACAGATCATTACTCTCATTAGTCACTGGTTAATTGCACAGCAGCCTGGGTGAGTGAGCATTTATCACACACTGCAGTTTGTGTCCCCTCACCACAGTGAGGGAAAACCTCAGACACCCCATTGTAATGTCAGGAACACCAGCACTCACCCAGACCTACACCCTCCATAAATTCATTTGGATTTTTGGCCATTTGCTGGCTGTGTTGCCATCAAAAATTACAAATTACCACATAAATCCCTGCAGCTGGAGCTCAGAACATGTTATTTTTGGTGGTTCTTGTGAGATCATGAAAATGCATGTACGCATCTGTAGGAAGTGCAAAAAATGCAAAAACTAAGCAAACTTTTGCTACTGTAAAACCTCATTCCTGGGAAAGGAAATTCACTGACTGGGACAAAAGCATCAGAATCCTCAATATTTATGATATTCCTGCTGCTGCTGTAGTCTGCCCCATTGGCTTTTCTGGGAGAACACAGAGGTTGGCAGTGCCTTAAAAACTCCAGATTTTCCACAGCAAATGCTTCATGTTGCTCACCAGCTCAGTACACTAAGGAAGGGAATTTATTCTTTTGAGATATTACAAATAGTATCAGTAGTAACACTGCTGTTCTTTAACAGGAAAACCCAAAAATGAGCTCACTTTCTCCCCAGAGATCAGCAGGAGGTGAACAATTAACACAGAGACAAGAAATCAGCTTTTCTCAGGTTCTGGACTGTGCAGGCTCTGCTCTTTGCTCATGGTAGATGTCACACCCTGCCTGCTGCAGAAGGTGATAGCTCTGTGCAAAGTCACACACCAAGATAAAAAACAGTAAAGCATTTTTTATACTTGAGTTCACATTGACCTTGAATCTACAGAGCTATATAAAAACCATTTTGTGCTGAACACACCCAGTAAACAACAGCTCTGGGACAAATTTATGTAATCTGGGGGCAGAAAGAGGAAGGAGAAAAATGAACAGAAAATGCACACAGACAAATAAGGACAGGAAACACAGTGAACAGCCTCACTTGGAAGATGACTAATCATGATTTTTGCTTTCTCTAATTGCTGACAAAGAAACATAACCATGTTTTCAAAGTGGATTGACAGTGATATTCTGGGTTAGTTTCCCAGAAATGGAAAGCACCCAAGCTTGTTACCATCTCTATCACAGCAGAGAGCTGACACCAAACCCAGCACTGACACCAAAAACTATTTTGTGCACACCACACAAGGACAAGCAAAGTGCTCCATTAACTATTTTAAAGTATTTCCACTGAGAGCGGCAGATAATCTGAGCTCTGTTTCCTGATGAAGCAAATTAAAATTATCACAGAAATTCTAAAAGAAATCCTCAGGTTTTGAATTTTACCTAAAGAAAATACAAGACAACAAAACTAAGTGATGGGGGGGTTTCAGCTGCACAGGTTTTACATGAAAAAAGATCCATATGTAATGTGTCTGCTCCTGAAGATAAGAGGTTACACTAAGATAACAGTAACAGAAAAAAAGAGACATGTTTTTAATACATATATGCAGTAGTTAAAGCATAACCCAGCGATTTCCACTACAAAATATACAGAACAAACAATAATACAAGTATAATTCAAACAGCAATATTTAAACTTCAAACCAATAACAAAAGCAGATTGTGGGGATCACTGACTGCAACTCCTGATCACTCTGACATTTCTTTAATAAATGCAATCCACTTGAGTTATTTCAAAGCTAGCAAGAAGTATTTTGCTATTTTTATCAGCCTTTTGAAAAGCAACACTGAACTTTAGGGTGGAGCTGATGAGGGTGTTAGGCAAAGGAGTTCTACCTCCTTTTTGATACTTCTTTTTTAGGAATATTTTTATTTGAATTGAAATGGTGCTGTGCCAACAATGCAAAAGGTAAGCAGTGACTGCATGTTCTGCATCTGTGCAGGTTCTGCTCATACAGAACACATTCTGAGGGGCAAGGTTCTCACAAGTGAGACATCCAGTGAGTCAAGTCTGTGACATTTCATGTGAGAATTATTTTCCAAGTGTCAGACACATCCATCTCACAGTCATCACAAACAATGTCACTTGCTACTTTCCCCCAGGCTTAAGTGGCAAGTTCTAAACTTTGCTTAAGTTAACAGAGGTTGTGCTTTAATTCTATCAAAGTTCCTTTAAGATTCTTTTCCATGAGGAAACACCCAATTAAACTTTGAGGTGTGAACACACAAAAAGCACCCACTAAACTCCTTTCACTTCTGATTCTCAATTCCAAGCACTGAAATGCACTCAGCATGACCAGTGACACTGGGAACAAACACTGTGTGCTTGAAAAGCAAATAAAAAATTTAAATTATGTAAGGCTCCCAAAGGAAGCCACCCTTTCCTGAGCTCCTTGGTGGTTCCAGTTTGAAGGGGGGGAAGGATGGATAAATCAGATCTCACCAGGGCAAGCAGAGGCAAACATTGGTAAGGCATGTTCCTCCTGGTTCCTCCGTTGGTAGCGCTGCACAAACTCCCTCTGGCTCTCCAGGATACTGAAATCTGCAGCTATGGTGGTGTCAAACACATAATGCACCCCTGGGGAGGCAAGCAGAAAGGAACAGGGAATCACTGGAATGTTGTTCCCCTTCCAAAGTTCCAGGCCTATGAAAAATCTTGAAGGATCAACAGGTGTATTCTTTCCCCCCTGCACATTTTCACAGTCATAAATAAAAGCCATACACTATTACAGCGACCTGATGAAGGTCTCCAGGGTGAGAGAAGGATGAGAATCTTGTTTCATGATCAGAAGGCTTGATTTATTGATATATGATATATAATACATTATAACTATACTAAAAAGAATAAGAAGAGAAGTTGCAGAGGCTGCTAAGCTAAGAATAGAGTAGAATAGAATCTAAAAACAAGAGAGTTCTCTGTCCCTGTGTTCCAGAGAGCTTGCCCTGTGATTGGCCCTTAATTGTACACATGGAACATGAACCAATCACAGGTGCATCCTATTGCATTCTACAGCAGCTGATAATCATTGTTTACATTCTTCTTCTGGGGCCTCAGCTTCCCAGAAGATGCACAAATCCCAAAGAAAGGATTTCTATGAAAAAATGTCTGCGACAATACACTGCAACAACTCCTTCTACACCCTGAGTTTACAAGGACCACCAAGAGCACTGCAAACATTCTCTGCTTCCCTCTGAGCACTTGGCATCTGTCACTTTTAGCTCAGCTGAACAGATGTCACAACTCCTGCAGTGACTCTGGCAGAGAAATGTTCTTTTCAAGACATGCTGAAGTCACAAAAAATCCTACCCAGCTCAGAGGCACATCTGCCATTGCTGCAGCTGTTTAGAGAGCTACAGGAGATATCAGCACCCCAGCAGGGCCCTGCTGGCTCTCACTTGGCAGCACACGCCCTGGGAGCCTACGTAACACTGGGCACATCCCCACAGAAGTGAGGGCAGATAATGAATGCATTCCAGGAAAACTGGGGCCCACCAGAACTCAGGAATGCTTTGAGATGAAGAGTACACACTGGGTACACAGATGTATCAGAAAAAACCATGAAAAATGAATATATATAGATACAGATAGAAGGAAACAGTTTATATGTTTATTACTGTTCTTTTTCTTTCTTCAAGTAAATTTAAAAAATCCCAAACTTACAAGGAAAGTGGCTATTGCTTGTTATCTAAAACTCTATATATACTGACCAAAGGAAATACAGCTTTAACATAAAATAGGGAGATACAACACTTCTTGTAATTTCAAATTACAGGAAAAAACAGAACTGAGAATCTCCTAGAAATACAATGTGTCAAAAGCACCGAAAGGAACTTAGAATAAGAATTACCTTCTCCCTCAAGTTTTACAACAATGGGAAGCTTGTGACCAAGCCCTCCCTGACTTCTTGGTAGCCAAGGTTTTGGAGGCAGCTCTACAATGTCCCTGTGTTCTGTGACCTTTCCTGTGAGCAGGGAATGTCCCCAGTGTGCTTCTCACACTGCTGTAGGTGGCACTGGTGCCTGGAGTTCAAACTCTGAACGAGGTTGTGCAAGGGCACTTCAGCACTGTTTAACAAAACATCATGGAATGGAATCCCACCATTGGCTTTGCTTGGGAGGAGCCCTAAAGCTCATCCAGTGTCACCTCTGCCATGGCAGGGACACCTTCCATTGTCCCAGGGACACCTCCCACTGTCCCAGGGACACCTCCCACTGTCCCAGGCTGCTCCCAGCCCTGTCCAGCCTGGCCTTGGACATTTCCAGGGATCCAGGGGCAGCCACAGCTGCTCTGGGAACCTGGGCCAGGGCCCCCCACCCTCATTTCTTCCCATTATCTAACCTAACCCTGCCCTGTTTCACTCCATGCCCGTGTCAAAAACCCTCTCCAGCTCTCCTGCAGCCCCTTCAGGTACTGGAAAGCAAAACAATCCCTCCCTTTCTGCTTCACCACCATAGCAAATGCAAACTTACCAAGACTTTTGAGGAAACCACAGAGTCTCTTGGCTGCTTCATTCACAGAGAGATTGAATTTAGCAGCAAAATAAGGCAATGACTGAGGGCACAGAGACACTGCCAACACTTTGTGTTTTGAGGTATCACATTTCTGGCAAGTGAAACAAAGAGAGAGAAGAAAAAATCATTAAAACAGGGTAAAGCTCCTTGCCTTCCCTTCCTTTCCCATTCCTGGAGTTATTCCTTAGAGTCTCATGCTTCACTGGACCATATCATTAAAAACCCTGTGAAACAAGCCTCAAGTGCAGCAGAACAGGATGTTCCTCTGATCCTGACAGTGCTCATCTGCAGTCATCTGTAGATGTCTCTTTTACAGAACTCAGGGGAAATCCATCTCTCCTAGGACAATTCTGTGCTTGGATTCCAGGTGGCACAAGGAAAGCTAAGGGACATTCAGCACCTCTGATGTTCTAGCAGGATGAAATATTCTAGCAAATAGGAAAAGAGCTGTGTGTTTCAACATTTACAAAGAATGTTTACAGAAGCAGGGGCGTTCAAAGCTGTAAATACAACCCAACAAATAACACATCTCATTTTTTGTTAAGGCTCCTGTGTCTTCATCACTGCAGTTGTGGAGGGAAAGTGGCAAGATGGGACTCAGCAAATCAGCACTGTAGGCACTGAGGAATGCCATGAAAGTAGCCAGGGCATGGTGTGGAACTGTGGCATTTAGCTGAAGATTTATCTTGTGTTTGAGCTGGGACATTTTCCACACCAGTGCAACCCCTGGAAGACAAAGCAGGACTGTGCCACAGACAAGTGCCACCCTGCAAAGGTCAGAGCCCACAGTCTGCACTGATCCAATAACCCTTCAAGGACAGCTCCTGGCTCAGAGCTCCTGACTGCCCCTGGCTTGTGTTTGGGAGCTGTGATCAAGGCACCTGACTGCCTTGCTGTAGTAGGATTCAGGCCCTCTTAACAGGACCCATATGACCCAAAAGATTATTTTCCCTAAATTCTCTTCTAATTTTCTCATACATGACAACACCATTCTGCATGGACAGTTAAACTCCTAAGAAAATGTAAGTACTATGTAACTAATCCACATTTATGACACACATGTACAGCTCAAGAAGCTTCAATTCTAGTAGCTTTTGCACAGAAGTCTGGAGCAGAACTAAAATAATTTAATATCAGGGTCTAAAGATCTGAGCACTACCCACAGCAACTAACTTCTAGAAAAAACAGAACTCAGCAGAAAATAAAACAGCAATAAAACACAAGGTTTGCTAAGAATATGGACAAAATGTAGTCAGGTTGAATGTATATTAGAAAGAATTTTAATTTCAAGAACATGTCTTTATAGGCTTGTATAATGTGGGTATATTAGCACCAAAACCAGCCAGAACAGTCCTAGCAGTGAAGGAATGAATATCTATAAACACTGAACTGCAGAATAATTTGTTCGTGCAGTAATGAAATCATCACATTGCCAATAAATTTTCCTTCTGCAGGTGCAGCAACTTTCCTCTGGTGTTTACATTAAGTGCTGTGACCTTGCAACTCCAGTACAAAATTATTTTAAGTACTTTTAACGTTTGTGTTGCCTGACTTCCTCTTTGGAAAAAGCATATCCTGACAAATCTTCACATTATCCGCCTTGGGAGACCAAGCTGCTTAGTCATTCTGTAACTGCCTCCTCCTCAGAGCCAACAGTGGGGCATTGTTTGGGTCACTTTACCTTATTAAGGTTGAGAACACGAAAGAACTCCTTCTGATTCTGCTGGAAAACTCTGGCTCCTTCTTCCAATGTCATGCAGCTGTCACAAGCTAGGCAGTCGCTAAGGAGTATTTTAGCATTAGCCAATGTATCAAACTCATTTTTCTGGGGGCAAAAAAAAGAAGCAAACAAGTATTTAGTAATGATCAAATGATTTTCAACATTTCTGCAAGCAAACACAGTATCCCTGTTTGGTTTAAAGCAGGACAATCCACAACACTTGCATAATATCCAAGATTATTTACAGGTAAACAAAACAATATGTTCCATCCCAATCATAGCTCTGCTCCTCCTATTACTGTGAAACTACAAAATGTTTAAGTGTAAACAAAAATCTAAATTTAGCCCCTAGTCCATATGCTAGTAACTTAATTTGCACTGTGCTTCAGAGCTGACAGTCCCCATCAACTCACCCAGCAACTGAGAAAACTTTCCCTTGAACTATTAAAGCTCTTTAACCAGATACCCTCTATAACAGCAAGGTGGCTTAGGCTTTGTAACACGAGGTAAAACAAAGAGAACACAGTCCTACAATTGCACTGAACATATTCTGTGAGATCAAGAGTTTCACACTATCTGCAGCTCACTTGAGAAAAAAGGAAAACTTGGATATAAAGAATAAATTGATATTTTGTCCACTTGTACTATCAAAACTCCGCTTCTTATAAGTTCTGTCTCTGTTCTGAAGACTTGATATAAGAGTTTTAGCATTCTAAATTTTTAGAATTTAGAATTTCTGTTTTGTGTTTGCATTGTAAGGGCTTTTATTGCACCTTTTTGCAAGATTTTTGATTCACATATTCAGGGATGTCTACAAGAGCTCATAATTGTTTCCAACTGCTTGTTGTTTATTATACTTAGTAGCTGAAAGTTGTCTCCTTATAACCTCCTTCGGGGTGCACAAAACAAAAGAATATAGAGTCTAATAGAGGTTTTAGAAGGAACATTACCTCTTCAGAGCCATCATTTGAACTCAATGCATCAACAGATGCACTTTGCGTATCGTCATTTTTCTGTTTTTTACTGCATTCCTGAAACAAAACATAAAATGTGCAGATTATGCAAAGCCTGTTTACCATTCTGTAAGAACACTTCTGCAGAACTCTTCATGCCATTAACCACGGACGGAGCTATTTACAGCGTTGTGGAACACATGCAAGACCCCGTGTTCCAAGTGTCATCGCTACGATGGAAATAATTTCTCCGAATTCCCCCGCTCCATCGGTTCGGGCGTTCCGGGCATTTGTTAACCCGAGGGGCTGTCGGGGCAGGCACAGCAGGGCACGGCCACACGCCGGCGACACCGCGCTCGGGGCTGTCACGGGGAGGACGCGGAGCTCGGTGACCTTGGGGCAGGCGGCCAGCGCGGCTCCGTCTCCCCGCCGGGGCTCACCGGGGACGGGGCCGTGCCCGCGGGCAGCATCCCCCAATACCCCCGTGTGCCCCGCACGAGGAGCGGCAGGACCCGGCCGGGCACTCGCTCACCTTTTTGCTGCAGTTCTCGCACTTCATCTGCGGCGCGGCCCTGGCGCGGCTGCCGCGCGGTGCTGCCGCCGGGGCTGCGGGACAGGAGAGAGCGGGGCGGGAGGTGAGAGCCGCTCGAGCAGCGCCAGCCCGGCCCCCGACGCGCTCCCTCCGTCCCCGCCGCCCTTTGTTACCGCGCCCGCCCCGCCGGGCGGTCCCGGGGCGGCCCCGCCGCGCTCACGTGTCCCGCAATTCCCCGGCCCGGAATTACCCTGCAAACACCGCCGGCCCCCGGCAATGCGGTGGCACCGAGCGGCGGAGGAGGAGACGCGGGGCGGGCGGCGCTGGCCGAGCCCCGCGGGGAAGGCGCCCCCGCAACCCCGCACGGAGAGCGGAGCCCTCACCGCTGCACCCCCGGCTCTTCAGAGCCCGCGCACCGAGGTAACGGGAGAACGGGCGGGCACGACTCGCAGCTCAGCAGCTCCACCGGGATAAAAACCCAACAGCGGAATCCCCCCGAGAGCCCAGCGTAGCCTGTCCGGGGGCAGCGCCGGTGCCGTACCTGCCGCCGGCGCTGAGCCTGTGGCCGCAGAGCGGGCGGGGCGGCACCGCCTCCTCCGCCGCCTCCCCCGGCCGCGCCCGCCGGGCTCATTGCGGACCTGCGCCGCCGCACGTACGCGAGGGACGCCCCCATCCTGATCCCCGTCCCCATCCCGGTTCCCATTCCCCATCCCCAGCCCGACCGGGACCCCCGGGCCGCACCGACCCGCCAGGCCGGCCCTCCGCGCCCGGCTCTGCGCCCGAAGCTTCGCCGCTTCTCTGGAGAGTCCCTGCGTAATTTTTTACACCGCGCTCCTCTGTTATATCGTACAATGGGTTTTCTCCCCCTCGATTTCTGTTTTTTTCCTAATGGCTTTAAAGTGAAATGACACTCTGCGAGTTACTAAATACAGCATCATCACCATTTTATTTAACCGATATGCTGCGGTTTCCCATTCCTGTAATAAAACACAAGTAGCAGCAATGCTGTTCCCAGGCAGCAATGGCAAATCCTCATGAACAGGATTATTGAACAGATATCAGCCTTCCAGTCTCAAAGGCCCTGGAGCATTAATCGAGATTTTTTACGGTTTCTTGTCTTTCTGAACTCAGGTTGTAGATTTAAATAGGTTCAATCAACATTTTGCTCCCTTTTTAACCCCCAGCCATATGAACACACACGTACAAGCAAACGCCTACACAGAGAAGTTTTTCAAGTGTAAAATGACGTTTTATAAATTAAACCACAGAACTTCTGAAAAACATGCAATTTCCTGCCTTAACTGCAACTTTTCTATAGCACTGAGAAAATCCCCTCCTGTTACAGTGCTTTAAGCCACAGATGGGTTTTGAGCACAAGGGCTGGAAACAGGCACAGCCAGAGAGGTTTGTTACCCAAAACCACAACTTTAAACACTTGTTCCATGTTCAGGACACTAAAGATAACCCCAGAGAAGAATGTTGTGCTTTTTTATAATTATTTTTTAATTTGCAGACTAGAGGTGAGTTATCACTGAGGTCAGAGAAATCAACAATTCTTTAGCTTAACCATGATGAAAGAAAACAGCAATGTTTTCATACTTACCACTTAAAGAAAAGTAAGCTGATGCTGCTTTACATATACCCTGGAAAATATCACTAATCCTGGCTTGAGGTAAAAATTGTAATAGCTTTGGTAATAATTTTCTGTGCCTCTGCTCCCTTCATTCAAAATACTCTCACATTTTATATTCGTGTATTAGCCCAAGCTTTTTAAAAGCATCACAACCACTGAGCAATTCCTATGTGATCTAAGAATTCCCATTTCCTACAGACTTGCTGGAATGCAGCATTATCTGACATCTTTTTTGTTCTGTGGATGAGTATTTTCATACGAGAAAAGCACCTTATTCCACCAGGATACAACAGCTATAGCTGCACTGGCCAATAAGGTGACAAGACAGATGGGAAGTTCTAAATTAAAAATGTGTTGAGATTTGTACTTAAGGACACAGCTAAAATCTTCCTGTTTCACACTCTGATCATACTTACATTTATTATCCAAAACTGATAAAGTGATTCTTCAAAAGACATGCCAGTTTTGGGTATTTCTGTAACTGCACAGATCATATTTAAAATATTTTTTATTTCACAGAATCACAGAGTGGTTTGGGTTGGAATGGACCTTTGAAGGTCATTTAGTCCAAACCCCCCTTGCACCAGACCAGGTTGCTCCAAGCCCTGTCCAGCCTGGCATTGAATTTCCAGGGATGGGAATCCCTGGTGAATTTAGTAATCTGTTACAGGACTGGATTAAACACATTCTTCTGCACATCAGCAAAGGGCAAAGACTGAATTTCCCCCCTATTTCTTGTATTCACAATGAAAAACTGCATAGAAATGGAAGCATTTTGCAAGAATATTGAGGACACCTGAAGTATCCCTATTTCATCCTTCGTCCTAGGAATACTTGGACTGAATTTATTTCAATTTCAAAATTCAAACAAAAAGAGCTAAAACTTCTACAAACTGAAGAGTGTGCAAGGAATCTCTGTTTCAGTGCACAGTACAAGGTTGTATTTGTGAAATCATTAGATAATTAGATGTCTCATTTATTTTATTGCCAAGAGCACTCTGTGCTTTCCATTCTCCCACAGAACAGCGGATCTTTGATCAACCCTCATGGTGTGCCTGATAACCTGAGAGAAGACACAGCATCCTGCTTTAATCTGGGCATGGTGACACCACCTTTGCACTCTCTAAAAGCTTTCCTATGCCAGCAGTAGGCAGCATTTAAAGGCATCACTACTTTTATGGCCACTGTTGATGTGTTTGGCCTCCATGTCACATTTATCCCTGCACCCGAAGCATTTACACCCTGAATGAAATGGAGAAATAAGAAATTTCCCTGTGAAAACAGCAAAGTGCTGCAGGCTTTGCATGGCTCCTGCAGGGCAGTGCCAGCTGTGAATGCTCCCTGCCCACAGTGCCAGCTCCTGGCACTCCCCAGCTGGCAGAGCTGGGCAGTAACTCCTGGCTGAACAGGGATCCATGAGATCTGTGCCCTGTTCCACCCAGGGCAGGGCCAGCACAGGCTCCTTCTGTGGCATGAGCTCATTTCTAGCAGCACTCCCAGCCAATTCTCCAGCCAAAGCATTTGGTGGCTGCTTCCAAGCAAGCACTCTGGAATTTATCCTGCCATGTCAGTCAGATCACATGCTTATTGCATAGCTGAATGCTTAAGACTTTAGGGCAGAAAAAAAACAAAACAAAGGAGTGAGAAAAGAATATTGAGGGAAATGGTCTGAAATAGGAAAAAGCACCAGAATTACAGACATGTCAAACTAATTCAAAATAAAGCCCAGTTCTGTTTTATTTGCATGTTCTTGGGTTTAGGTCAATGACTTAAAAAGTTACAAGTGTGTTTGCTACACAAATAGAACATAAACACTTCCACAGAATCTATTTTTACATTGTTGAGGAAGAAGTCTACAAACAGTCAATCACATATTCCTGAATTGTTTCTTTTGGAAAATTGTTTTTGTTTCTGCAGCAGTGGTTTGGAATTCATGCTGTTCTTTAGGTCCAGCATCAGGCTTTCAAAATGTTCCTTCTTCCTTTTTCTATTAGAAGGCACAACAGCACTCACCTACCTGAAAGAGCTGGTGTAAAATCCCCAGATTTTAGAAAAAATGCTGTAAGAATCATTAATGGATAGCAGAAGCTTACAAGGATCCTTGCCATATTTATTTGGATTGTGTATGTATGTGATATTTCCCATGGCTGAAAAAATGTCTCTGTAACTTCATAATTAAATTAAGTCACATCAGGTTATCGTGGTGTGACCTTTGAAGAACTGCAGAAGTAGAGAGTTGCTGATATTTTTGCAGTTAGTAACAATAATAAAACATATGCTTTGTGGTTCTTGCTGAATGGAGATGAATTTCTTGCTTATTTCACTCTGCTCTAGACACAGAAAACCTTTTGTCTTTTATCAATCCAAACAGCTTAACATTTGGTTTCCAGAGAAACCAGTTGCTTGTAAAAACTGATTGACAGCTAATTAGACATAAATTTCTTCCCAAAAGCCTCAGTCAGCTGCTTGTTTGGGTTGAGCACACGTGATACTTCTTACTTCCTATTTTTCATCCAAATCCAGCAGCTGGTACCTTGTGACTCACAAGCAGCCAATTCATTCTTGCACTTCCTCACTGCCTTTTCCTATTAACTCTTACACAGAATTTTACACAGGTAATTCCCAGTACTTACACTTAAATGTCTGTATTGTGGACTCTCTGGGGGTTTATCCCTATCTTCACTCTGGAATGTTATGAAAGTCACTGGTCAAAATCTTAATTTGCCAGAATAGTGTTGAGAACAGCTAAATAAACTTCCATCATGTCATGGCCCTGAGCAAACACTCCAGAATATATTAATGTTTGGAAAAAAAGCCAAAATTTGAGGATTTCATCCAGGAAGGACATTCTGAGAGAGGACCAAGTATCATTTGTAGATGAAGTTACACACTGACTTAGAATAATTTAAGAAGTTAAGCTAAACTGCAGATGTCTGCATTTCACCTCGAATGGATTGAACAGGAGAGGCTTTCCCATGTGAATGATATTTGAAACATGAAACATTTTCCAAATGCAGCCTGTTTGTCCACAACAGGAAAATTACTCTGTATTTCAAGTGAATTAGAAACTTTCCTCCCCAAATAACAGATTTTCAAACCCAAACCTTCAGCTGATGTACAATTCAGAAAACTCACGACATCAATGTTAGACTTGAAAGATTATCACTGATATTTCTGCTTTCCAAATATAAGTGATGTCCAGGTGTTAAAAAAACAGGTTATTTATTGGTGAAATTGCCTTGCTAAAGTCTAGGGCTTGATAATGCTTTAATGAACTCAGGCCTAGCAGAGATTAACAAAGTGTGAGCAAAAAGGATGCCCACTGGCAGTGGACACACAGAATTTAGGGGCCATCTGGCAAGAACTCCCAATATAAGGAAGAAACAGATGAAGCCAACTCAGCAACTGTGCTGAAATCAGCTCCAGCTGGGTAAAAGAGAATTCTGGCGGGTGGAATCTGCAACCACTGACACAAGAAACCCACCTACAAGAAGGAAAGGCTGAGCATGCACACTTCTTAGCATGACAAGTGGATCATTAATCAATAGAAGACAGAATGCTAATTATTAAGAGAACGATGTAACTTGTGGCCAGTGAACACTAATGTCTTTGCTAAAATGTATAAATAGTTAAAAGCTTTGGTATGCTTGATGTGTGGAAATATCCACCTTGCACCCTGTGCAGAATAAATAACATCTCCTTCCTAAACTAAACTGTCTGTGTTTAGAGGGCTCCTAAAATCAGCAAAACTTTCCTGCAGCCGTTCCAAACCCACCTGGACGCGTTCGAGGTGTCAGCAGGGCTTGGACTGAGCGATCTCCAGAGGATCCTTCCAACCCCAGCCGCGCTGTCACTCTGCCACAGCCGGGGCACAGCACCAGCTCTTTGTGTCACTGCTGTCCCAGGTGCTGCCATCGAGCACCCAGAGGTTTCCTGGCTCTGCAGGAGCTGCCCGAGCCTGGGGAGAGCCCCCAGGGCTCCCCTGCCCTCCCCGACCCCTCATGCAAGGGGCCATGTCCGCCTCACCCACCTCGGCTCGTATCCACTGAGGCTCTCCCACACACCCAGCCTCACCCTACAGTAGCTCACGCGAGGTTTCTGCTCTTTCCAAGCACCGCTAAGGTAAAACAACCCAGGAAACATCGACGCTCTTACTTCAGCAGCATCCGCGGGCCCCGGCGCCATGCTGAGTACTGGCAGCGCGCCGCCATCTTGGCGCGGCGCTGCCCTCACGGGCGGGGAAGGGAAGGGAAGGGAGGTTCATGTCCCGTCCTCTGCCCTCACCCAAAATGGCCGCGGGCGCCTCCGTCCATCCCTGAGGCGGGACGATCGCTGAGGGCGCGGGACGCGGAGGCGGCCGAGGATCCTTAGAGCGCGGCTGGAGGCCGGGCAGGTACCGCGGGCACGGGGCTGGGTGAGGGTGAGGGCGGCCTGGGGCTCCCCACACGCGGGGGGACAAACGCCGCGGGTCGGGTGGGTCATGGCTGGGGAGAGTGTTCCCTTCCCTCAGGGGGAAACCACGCTGGGCTGGGAGCAGGTGCAGGCTAGGGAGGTAACAAAAATAAGCTCTGTAAAGAAAATTCACCTGATGTGTGCTCCTGACTTGATGGCTGCTGGTGGTGAAGATTTCAAGGGGTGAAAATTTCAATTCTTCCATTGGGCTTTGCTGGCTCGCCTTCAACCGAGAACTTGGAGGAAGCATGAGAATGTTATTTTGATGCTGGAGATCAGTTCATTGTAAACCAGACAAATTTAAGCAAAATTTAACTTTTAAGGACTTAGCAAAAACAGCACAAAAGTACCTCTTTCTCTGTGTTCTGGTAAAATTTTAGTATTTGCTTTAGGGCGCATTTATGATTTATTTATAAAATGTAACTTTAGAAGCTGCTTTGCTGTTTTTTATTCCAAGCAACAGCCTGTGAGAGACAATGCATTGATGTTGCGTGTCCAACATTAAACCAAAACTGGCATTTGCCTGCTTGAACTTCCCTAAATTATTATGGGGAGGAGATATCAAAGGTTGCATTAATGGACTTGACTGATAATTGTGAGAATTATGTTCTAAGTGTAATATTTATTAAATACACTGAGATTTCTGCGGTGATTTCGGTGTGTTTTTTAACTTGGATTTGGTACCAGGCAGGAGAAGGCATTGTGCATGCAGAAGTATTTTCCGGTGTATTGAGAACAACTCACAGGAGTCATTTGAAAATTAAAATTTGATGCTTGACATCCGGAGGAGATGGAGTGTGTCTCATGCATAAGTGCTTTTGGCTCTTTCGGTTTCAGATGCTCTCAGATGTGTTGCTAAGAGATTAAAATCAAAGCCGTGGGTGCTTTTTGTTTAACTGAAAAGACCTGGCTCAATCTGCTCCTCTGGAGCTTTGTATCCAAACTCCCAGAATTGCAGGAGCATATTGTATCCAAGAACAGCTGGATAAGTAAAGGACTGAAAATCACATATTTGCCTTTTGTGAGAACTTGGATGTGCTCAGCCCTGTTCTCTCAGTGTTATTCAGAACCTGATGAATGTTGGCATTTTCTTGAAACCTGTTATCTTGGGCAGCTAACAGCAGCTTAATGCCAGCCTCCTTGAGCTGGTTCTATGGGACAGGATGCCCAGGGAAGTGGTGGAGTCACCATCCCTGGAAGTGTTCAAAAATCCTGTAGGTGAGGTACTTCAGGACATGGTTTAGTGGTGTGCTGTGTTAATGGTTGGGCTTCGTGATCTTAAAGGTCTTTCTCACCCTAGATAACTCTGATTCTGTGCTGTGAAACAGTAAAAATGTACTGAAAATGCTGCATGGGATTACCCAGCTCTTCCTGGTTTTAATTAGTGCCTGGCCTTTTAGTCTCTGTTGTTTCTACCTGGGCTGAAGGTGTGGTCTTGTTGAGGACAGACAAACATACTTGTTGGAATCTCCTGGTTGTGTTCCTGAGGTGCCCTGGAAGATGGGAATGCTGTCTGTGGCATTATGGGATGGTGGCAGTGCTTGGCTGCAGCCCCTCCTGGGGTGCAGAAGGCTGCACTGTCCTGCCCAACTCCCAGACTAACCCTTCACACAACCCTCTGAGCTCACAGGAGAAATGCTGTCAAGAGATTTCCATTCCCCTTGCTTTTTTATCTGAAGGGCTGCATGAATTAACAACAACATTGTTCCAGCTCCTTGTTTTGCACATTTTTCTTCCAGAATCTGATTATAACAGAAAGAGACTTTTACCCCTAAAATGAGAACTTTCTTCCAGGAATTCACATTCCTGTTGTTGTTATGCAACTCTCAACATGACAGTTTTACTTTGTGGTTATTTTCAGTGTTCATATTGCTCTTCCTGTGTTTTTACTCTGGAGTATCTTTTATAGTCTAGATTGAGGCTTGGTGAGTCCTGGAGGGGGAACTGGTGGAATTGTCAATGATTTAAAAATTTTACCTTTTTTTCTTTTTGTTTGTTTGGTGCAGTGAGGTTTGATGAGTGACACTGGGCTGCTGGGAGCTGCTGTTGAAGATGTACATGTTGGTTGAAAAACGCACAAATTCCCATCTGCACCTGAAGAGGTCACCTGGCATCCGCTCCTGGTCTCTCTGTGTTGGTAAGAGCACAGCTTTCATTCCAGAGCTTGCTGTAAGGGGAGATGGTCACAATAAACTCCTGAAAGAGCCTCTGGTGAAATCCCTGCCTTCCAGGCATTTTCCTTTCCAGAGGAGCAGAGATTGGGCTCTGAACTCTTCCTTTCCATAGCCACTGAATGAGTGTGAAGCCTCAGCATGGCAGTTTCACTGTGGGACTTTCAGTCTCATCTGGAGAACCTCAGAAACTCATGGATGGAATTTTAAAGGAGTCCTGGAAGATCAAGAACAGAAGGTTTATTATGAAATGTGAAGCTTCTGAAGGGGGTTTTGCTTGAGAAACATCTCAGTTTGCAGGAGTGGAAAGCTGCAGCGTGACCATGCTGGGTGTGTGGGGTTGGTGCTGAGCTCCTCAGGACTCTGTATGAAATGGGAAATCATACAGGATATTCTGAAAGGCATCTTTATAAACACCACTGAATATGCAGGAGAAATAAACTTGTTGGGATTGTACTGAGAGAGCTGCTGGGGAAAATCTGGTATATCCTGCTTTCCAGCTGAGATCCCACTGCAGCAACACCACCTTGTCAGTGCTTTCAGGGATGTGGTTGAGAAGATCTTTGCAGTTGCAGCAGCCCCTGGGGCATGGGGCACTCTTCAGCTGCTTCCTCCTCTCTGAGAGAAAGGAGCTGGCAGTTTCTGCCACAGCTTTACTGCAAAAGTTGTCTTTTGCCTCCATAGAGCACCCAAAGGGGAAAATAACCATTGCAGGGTTTTTGAGCACTCCAGGTTGTACTGTGCTGAGGGGAAGTGTGGTGTCATGGTTAGACTGAGTCCCTCTGAGCTTCTGTTCCCAACTGTGTCTCAAAATTTTTATTTCTGACTCCAACCACTGTGCTTTTAATGCCTTTGCAGGATGGAAGCTTTTCTTAATACTGAGAGAAAAAAAGAACTTGACTTTCATATAGTCATATATGTTGCAATCAGGTTTGTCCTGGTGTTGGAAAGTGATGTTTTTCGTCAGGGAATTTTAGATGTTTTTTAGTTATTTGTTATTTATTTGTCTTAATTCTCTCCTCTTTCCTCCTAGGAATAGCCTCCATAGGTTTGGCTGCTGCTTATTATAGTGCAGGTAATGCTCTATCACTTTTTTGGGAATGATTTCTTTGCTGTTAATCTGTTTTTCGTGCTGATGACTCATCTGCAGCTTCTGTCTGGCCCTTCAAAGGCAGTGGAGGTTCCTCTCCCCCTTTGTGGTGTGAATATTAAAACCAATAATAATTTTTGCCTCTGTGGCTTGCTGTGCTTTAGTGCTGTATTTCTTACTCAGCCTCCTTTTCCATTTGCAAGCATTTTTAATAATGATATTGGTACTCTGTGGCATTTTGTACTTTCAATGTTTTATAAATGTGATTAGCTGCTCCTCACAGCTCTCCTGGGAGGACATGTAATGATTATTTGACACCATAATGAAATGATTGCTTTGCCTGTGACGGAAATTCTCTGTTTCTCTGGAAACTGTCAGATCATCCCTGGCAGAGATTTACTCATCCCAGCACCTTTAGGGATGAGCCAGCTTCTGCTGCTTCCTCCCCCTGCACCAAATGCCAGCTGTCCTTCCATCCATGACATTTGTCCTGGAAGCTGCCCTGTGCTGCATCCTGTTAACATCAAATGTTAAAACTTAATAGTGTGTAGGAATGTGCTACCAATAGAACCCACATATTTTTATTTCAAGAGAAAAATTCAAGCTGCTTGAGCCACCAGCTAAATCAGCCTTGTTTTTCTTTAAACATTGCAACAAAGTTTTCTGAAATCTCAGCACAGTTCTGCTGTGCCTTCAGTTAAAAGCCTGAGTGAGCAAATTATTCAGGCTGTGACATGTAAACATTTCCAGGACATGAAATGCAAATGTTTGTTTGTCAAGAGGACCAACTGCTTCCTTTTATGCAGAAACATGTTTCCTTTATTGAGTTTTCATTGTCCTTACCCTTGTCCTCTGCAGCACAAATATTTGGTGTTTGACAGCAGGTTGGCAGTTCTGTGAATGCCTTTTAAGATGCCTTTGTACAGAAGAGAAAGATGTGATGTTCCAACCTTGCCAATAATACAAATGCTTATAATTCTGCATGGTTTGAAGCTCAGTGTGAATGAAGTCTCTGAAAAGTGTGAAAATTTTCTATATTTTCATTCTGGGAAAGAGCTGTAAAATAGCTTGTAGTACAACTAAAAGCAAAAATGTTCCATCAGAGAAACCTTTCCTCCTTTTGTTGATTTTAAAGGGAGCATGTTGCTTTCAGGATTGTTTAAATGCCAGAGAAGGAGTAAAAAAACCTAAATTTATGCATTTTTTACATTGTCCAGACAGCTTGGCATGGAAGCTCTTCTACATGGCTGGGTGTTTCTTTGTGGCAGCCCAGAATCTGGAGCAGTGGGAGGTAAGATGCTGAGCTCAGGAAATGAGGGGCTGTGAGTAGGAAGCACTTGGCAGATGCTGATTCCAAACAGACAAGTTATGCTTGTGGTTTTGAGGAAACCCTCTGGGTTGCTATGCTGGGACTAGAATTGGGGCAAGAATTCTTGGATTATACAAACATAAAAATGTGAAGCTAAACATTTGGGTATTTTTAAGGGGAGACTTGGCCCAAAATGTTCTCTTTTATACAAAAGAGGGAGAATGACCAGGACATTCAGCTGCACAAATGATTTTGAACTTAGTCTTCAGGCTAATGACAGAGAAACCACTAAATAAGGGAGCTCTAAGCTTCCAGGCTGCTCAGCTTTTCTCCTCTGCTTTAGAATTGTGTGGATGTTGATTTGAGAGCAGTAACCCACCTTGTCACCCTGCTGACCTGAGCTGTGTTAGAATGAGCAACTCACCTAAACAGAACAAGATCCTCTTTTCATTGATTAATATGAAATTTTATTAATATCCCATATCATTAATATTCATTTTCCTTGGGATATTTGAGGTCTGTGTAAGCCTGGCCTATAGAACACAGCACTGGGATGTCAAATTCACCAGAAGTGAGAATTATAGGAGTTACAAGTTAGTGTTCAAATTTAATTCCAGCTTTTATTACTTGGGGAATGTGGCAAGGGGGACAATGAACCCATTTTAACTCCTTTCTAGAAGTCACACCAGAGATATGGTAAAGTTTCTATTAAAACCAAGAGCAAGATTGTGATTTTCATGGTCTGGTAATAGAGGAATGTATCTCTGTCTCTCTCTGTGTAGTTTTCTGTTACCAAGATTATTTTCCAGTGGAACTATTTTTGTTTTACTTTGAAGCATAGCTAGTGATGGTGTTTTCAAGAAAATCTTAATTCTCATTTTTCAATTCCACAGGAAGCTGTATTTGATAAAAACAAGGGAACAATCTGCCTAAAAACATTCAACCTCTACAAAAAAATCCTGACCTTGTCAAAAGGAGGCAATGAACAAGGTGAGAAAGCAGCATCTGTGGTACAAAATGTGGTGAGCAGCAGCAGAGATGGATGTGTGCCCATTTAATGGCTTCTGTGGAGTTCTGTACTCAAATTAAGTCACATCTGCTTCCAGATCTGCTTTGTTCCCAAGCAGCAGATGTAACAATCTACCTCTCTGGGCCCAAATGCTTTTTCTCAGTGTGCTGAATGCATCTTGTTAATTATTTTAATCCAGCAGAAGTAGGCGTACACATTGCTTTCCCTAATAATGTTAGCCAGTCCTTTGGGATGTTAATGTGTTTACCTTGCTCTTGGCTAGCCTGCTTGGCAGCTGGGACTGGTGGAAAAACTTCAGTTTTGGATCCAGAAGTTGAGATTGCTGTAATCTCATCTGCTTTGGGGAGCAGGCAAAGGTTTGATAGCATATGCAAGCAGGCTTGTTCCATCCTGCAGTTACAGAATATGCATTTAAAGCAGCCTGAGCAGGAGGCTCAGTTTAATGCAGGATCTGATGGCCTTGGGCTTCCTCTTGGACTCTCAGAAACTGCAGTTTGGTCTGTGAGTTGGGAGAGTCAGGGTGGTGAGTTGGAAGCTCTATTGCAAACTGGGATCTTCTATTCTGTTGCAAAGTAGGATCTTCTTCCATGGCAGAACATCTAAACCTGAACCTGCCAAGCACTCAACCCTGCACACAACTGAACTGCACTGAATCTTGTGACTGTCACCCAACAGTCCTGACACACACACCTGGCCCTGACAGGCCAAGGAAACAAAACACCATCACTGTGGGTAAACAGTCTCCATATTGCATCCTACTTTTGCACAAACACAGGCACAGCAAATGATAAGAATTGTTTTTCCTTTCTCTGAGGTTCAGAGAATGGGAAACCCAGAAATATTCTTGGGAAGAATTGTGCCTTGCTTTTCTCTGTGAAGAGAAATGGGGCTACAGGGAGACGAAACAATTCCTTCTCTAGCTGGGGACCAAGGACAAATGATCCAAATCTCAGGCCCAAGAGCATAAAAAATGTGGACTGAAGAGAGAAAAACAAGCAGGGTGGGACTTCATGGGCTGGACCTGTAGTTGGACAATGAAGTCCAAGATGCAAATGGAGCAGAACTTATAAAAGTGAGAGACCCCATGACCAGTTGTGCATTTTGTGACCATTTTGGTTCCTCTCGGGTGCAGCCCTGGCTGGGCTCTTGTGCTGCCCAAGGTGGATCCATGGAGGCCTTTTCATAAATCCCTAAGAAGAATAAAGTTATTCTTTAGCTCCATCTGGTCTCTGCTCTAGATCAGCCTGCACAAGGCATCAGTTTGCTGCTGCAGGAGTGCCCTGGCTGTGAGGGGTCACAGCAGTGGTGCCCCAGAGCAGGGTCCCTGTGACAGTGCTCACAGGGGTCTGAGGATGAGGGAAGAGATGAGGATCTGACTCCATGTTTCAGAAGGCTGATTTATTATTTTATGATATATATTATATTAAAACTATACTAAAAGAATAGAAGAAATGATGAATATGATGAATAGAATAGATGGCTGGCTAAGAATAGAAAAAGAAAGAATGATAACAAAGGCTTGTGACTGACTGAGACAGTCTGGACAGCTGACTGTGATTGGCCATTAATTAGAAACAACCACATGAGACCAATCCCAGATGCACCTGTTGCATTCCACAGCAGCAGATAATCATTGTTTACATTTTGTTCCTGAGGCCTCCCAGCTTCTCAGGAGAAAAAATCCTAAGGAAAGGATTTTTCATAAAAGATGCCTGTGACGGGGTCCCCGTGACCCTGTCCCCTGTGCTGAGGGTTTGCAGTGCTGCTGAAGCTGCTGTTGTGCCCTCCCTGCAGTGGTGGCCGTGCTGAGCGAGATCCGCGATGTGAACGTGGAGGAGGAGGCCGTGCGCTATTTCGGGAAGGGCCACCTGGTGGTGCTGCGCTTCGTCACCGGCTTCTCACACCCGCTCACCCAGAGCGCCGTGCTGGGCTGCAGAAGGTGCAGTGGGGACTTGGTAAAATTGGAATGTGGAAGGTGGGGATGCCAATCATGTGGGTCAGTAATTGCCAGCTATTGTTGATGCCTCAGGTTTTAGTTTTTATATTTTTCACATTCTGTGCTGCTTTAGTGTGTGGGTCTGAGCTTCATATCAGGGGTTGTGAGCTCTCTGCACAGAGCAGGGAGACAAAACAATTCCTGCTCCAGCTGGGCACCAAGGACAAATGATCCAAATCTCAGCCCAAGAGCACAAACAACATGGGCTGGAGAGAGAAAACCAAGCAGGATGGGGCTTCATTAGCTAAACCTATAATTGGACAATGAACTCCAATATGGAAATGGAGCAGAACTTATAAAAATGAGAGACTCCATGACTTGTCGTCCATTTTGTGACCATTTTGGTTCATCTTGGGTGCAGCCCTGGCTGGGCTCTTGTGCTGCCCAAGGTGGATCCATGGAGGAGGTCCTTTTAATAAATCCCTACTTTATTCCTTAACTCTGTCCAGCCTCTGTTCTAGGTCAGCCTTCCCAAGGCATCATTATAACTAAGCTCAGTTTTTAGACTTGCTATTATGACCTTGTGTTACTCAGTTTAACCTTTTAAACTCCATAATGTTTTCATTTGCAGACATATGGCTAACACTATCTGTCAGAATCATGTTTAAATATCTGAGATCTCTTTAGTGCTGCATGTCTGCTGGAGTTGCCTTCCTGAGCTAGGCAGTGGCAAAGGGGACTAATTCTACTTTGCAAACATTTGGTGTATTAGTTAGAAAATTTATCTTAAGCATTGATAATAAGGAACCTTTCAGCAGGGAGTGGGAAAGGACTGATTTGTTCTGATGTGGAGGGAATGGCTTGGTGTGTCAGCCATAGCCTCTATGCCCATATGAGTTTCCCTCCAGGCAATTATTCTCAGGAATTAGCATGCCTGCTCTTGTCTTGTCAGCACTGCAGTTCCACTAACTCTTCCATTGTTTCTTCCTTCCCACAGTGATGTGGAAGCAGTTGCCAAACTCATTACGAGTTTTCTGGAACTGGACAGAGTGGAGACCCCACAAGATTTCTCCCAGAGCAGCGAAACAGAGGCAAGTGATGCAGATGAACCACAGGTTCAATACTGATAGTCATTGTGAACTGAAGCAAGCAGAGGCTTTCACACATCTGGAAAATATTCTGATTGTTCTTCAGAACAAGAAACCCCTCACAACCTTGATCTGGGCATTTCTCAACGTGTGCATTTACAATGGGTGGAATCTGTCTTAGGGCCCATTGTTCAGTGCTAAACTGCTTCAAGACCCTGCATGTGGACACTGCTGGCTTTTGAACTTTTGTCACCTCATCAAACTTGTCTAGGAATAGTTATTTATTAATGAATTGGTTTGAAATAATTGCTTTTCCATTAATGAAGATACAGATGTGAGCTTCTGCTTACTGCAAACATTTGCTGCAGGTACAGTATATGCAATGTAGAAGAGTTGAATTTGTACCTCAATACACAAAGCTTTGAGGTTTCCCCTTTAATATATGCAATTAGGAGATGCAGAATAGTGGCACTTTTATGTTCTCTACTACTGACTTGCCACTGGATATCTGTGGAAATTAAAGTCTGAGTGCCTCTCTTGGAATTTTAAACATCAGGGTAAGCAACTTGTAAAGGTGTCTTAACTTATCTCAGACTCACCAAGGAGCCATAAATAGCAAAGGAAAAAGGATCATGATGAAACTTCTTTGGGATGCTCTACCTTAGTCCTGTTCTGTTTCACTTGTGGGCAGGACAGAGCAATCTTTTTCTAGACCTCAATGTTTACTATTTAAACTGTGTATTTAGAAAGGAAGCAGGGAGATGTGTAACTTTAGGTAGGGAAAGGGCTGATGTCAAACAAGGTGGTAGCTTAGAGTTGATGAGTATTTCCTCACTTGAAATGATACCCAAGTGCTAAATAATAACTTTTTTTAAGGTAGGCAGCACAGACTAAATGTCTGACTGTGTTTTACTCCAGCTGTGTGGTGTCCTCTGTTCTGACCAATGGTTTCACAAATAGTTAAAATATGCATTTTTTTCAAGGTATTTCTGAAGTAAAAGCTACCTCTCTTAGTCAACATATTCTGTGTAGAGCTAGAACTGCTTCATGCTTACATTAACATGTCAGTACAAGAAAAAATTGTCAAAAGCTGCAAGTTCCTTCAGCATGCTACAGCTGCTTGTACTGAAGTTCACTAGGTTTTATTTAGGAATCTTATGGTCTTTAGACCTGATTTAGAAAATCTGTGCACAGTTACATCTAGGAGATGTGAACAGGTACGAGGTAACTGTGTTCTGTGCTTTCACAGTTGGCCAGCAGCAAATGTCTCCTGGCAGCAGTTCCTTCACATTTAAAAGAGCCTGTGTTCTTGTTCCCAATCACTCTACCTCTACAGAGAGAAGGCTCTGGAAAGTTTTTGGTGGAAGGCACATCCTGTTGTGAGTTCAGTTTGGTGTGAAGCTGAGCTCCTGCTCATCAAAGGTTTCCCTTCCAGCTGTCACGCCCGGGCTGTGAGCAGAGGCTGGGGCTGTCAGGGGAAGGTGCTCACACTGCAGCAGGGCTGGTGGCTGTTGGTGTAGCTGCCTGCAGCACAGAACTAGGTCTGTTTCCTTTAAATAAGATAAAAAACTTGTAATCATGTCAGGTGTCAGCACAGAGCTCTGCCAATACATGTTCCTGAAAGTCCTGTGAGTTGTTGGGGTGATCATGGGGCTTTTGGTGCCCACCCCACACCACTGGAGCTGGGAAGCTGCTGTATATGAATGTGGGAAAATCAGGTTGCAATTAGCTAAATTTGCCTTTATTCTCCAGCACAGCTGTAGGCTAAGCATGATCATCAAACCTGTTTAAAAAATACTGCAGGGTGTAACACTTAATGTAGAGTTCCTCATTTAAATCCACTGTAATGTACACCCCAGGTGATGCTCATTTTAGAGAGAGGAGGATGAGATTGGGGATTTGGAGAACTCTTTTTCCCCACAGTGTAAAATGAGAATGGTGAGTGTTCTAAGGACTTCAGCAGGAAGTTCTGTCCTGTATGTCATGGTGCAGTGTAAGCACAAGGGCTCAGCCTGTGCCAGCTGCTGCTCTGGATCAGGGATATTCAGAGGGCATTGTGCTGTGCCCTGCACTTACTCTGAGCCTGTGGAGTGGACCATGGATAACCCAGACCAAGCTGCCCTCAGCCTCAGCTCTGCTGGCTTTCATTTGGATTCCCATGACAGCTGACATTCCATGCAAGATGTAAACCACACTGTAGATCTCCAGTTAAAAATCAGCTTTTGAGAGGTCCATCTGTTGGTGTGACCCTGCACTGCATCCTGTGTGTGTCCTCTGCTGCTGAGCTGCAGTGCCCCCAGCTTGCTGTGCATTCATGGTGTTTCATGCCTACACTTACAGACTCTGCAGTACCTTAGACAAAGACTAAAACAATGTCAGGAAATTGAGAATATAGAAAAGGGAATGACCTATAGTGAGGTACAATGTAACTTGAAATGCATCCTGTGGAGTAATCTGTATGTTGGGTTGGTGTCAGTGGTCACCTCTACAAAGGTGTTCTGCAGTATCCTCCTCACTCCTCGTTACCCTGCTGTGTTAGGCAGGGCAGGCATGGCTGCACCATGCACTGTGTGTTTAGGAGGAGTATTGACTCCTCAGCCTTTCCCTAGGAGCAGCTGGTGCCATCCTCTGGTGCCATTTCCATTTAGCATTTGGCAGCTGTCACTGTACCAAGTCCAAATCCAGTGGGGATCTGTGTTCTGCAGCCTGAGCTGGCAGGATGGGCCCTGGGGATGTTCTCAGAGCTGTGTTCTGCAGGATGGGCCCTGGGGATGTTCTCAGAGCTGTGTTCTGCAGGATGGGCTGTGGGGATGTTCTCAGAGCTGTGTTCTGCAGGATGGGCTGTGGGGATGTTCTCAGAGCTGTGTTCTGCAGGATGGGCTGTGGGGATGTTCTCAGAGCTGTGCTCTGCAGGATGGGCTGTGGGGATGTTCTCAGAGCTGTGTTCTGCAGGATGGGCACTGGGGATGTTCTGGCAGCCTGGGGGGCTCCTGTGGGGACGTGTCAGGCACTGCTGGCAGATCCACCCAGGAGCTTCTGTGGCACTGATCCGTCTGGGCCTGGCAGGGGACACTGCCCCAGTGGTAGCACAGGCTGATGGAGGCTGATGGGCTTTTCTCTTGTTTCTCTCTCCACATGTGGAGCTTCTAGCTGTCCAATATCATTTCTAGCTGGAAGACCTGGCCAGATGAGTGCAGTGACTGTGCATGGACAGTTCACCTGCAGTTGCTGTTGCCATGATTTGGCTGTGGCAGGGTCTGTGCCCTCAGCAATGGCAGCACCCTGAGGAGCTGTGGGAAGCAGGGGCAGCTCAGGGCAGGGTCCACTCTTCCCTCTTTGGACAAGTCCTTTCTCCTTCTCCTTTTGTGCCACTTCCCACCATTCTGCTGAAGATTTCCTGGTTTTCCTGAGTACACAGAGCCTGACATGTGCCTGCTGTGAAGTGACTTGGACCCAAAGGAATGACATCAAAGACTCATTTTGGGTAGGAAATTCAGTACTCCCAGGAGACTTTGTACAGATGTACTCATGAACTTCTGCATCTCAGGCTGTCTCTAGAGACCTGTGCCTGACTTAGCCATGATTTAAAAAGCTGCACAGCAGAGCTCAGATCAGCTCTAACACCTAAACCAAGCCCTGTTGTCACCTCCTTCACTGCAGCTGTCACTTTAGGGCAGCACAGGGCAGCTCCTTGCATGGCTGTGCTGGGATGGGATTGGGGCTGTGGCTGCTGCACTGCTCCGTGTAACCTTGGTGTAACCTCATATTCCAGTACTTCACAATGAAATATTCCATACCTGGCATGAAGTGTGCAAATCTCAAAGAAAATCCAAATATTTCTAGTTGAGATCTGATTTTTGGAGCTGGATTTATGAAGTTACACAGGTACTAAAACCTCAGCTGGCTCCAATAATAAATAAAAAGTGCTAGTTCTGACAGTGTCATAGATGGCTGGGAGGCACAAATACTTCTGGAAAATGTTTAGAAATTGCCTTTTTTTTTTTTTACTTTAAAATTGCAAGTAGAATTTCAGCAAGGCCTTATTGTGTTGTCTTTTTTTAAAAATAATGTTCATTGATAAAATCAACTTCGATAACTTGTTTTGCATCGCTGTAGTATTTTGTATATTGTTTTTAATTAAAATTATTAAAATATTAATGGCTGTCTAAATTATTATTGGGAAGGAATTAATGAGGGGGAGGACAGAATAGAAGAAGCCCAAATACCTGCTTAGAAGTGACCCTGCTGACACTCCTGCAGCAGTCCAGCTTTTAATTCCATTTTCTATTATTCCATATAACAGAGATTGATAAATCCAACTCTCTATTGGGTATATTTCCATTTCCTCTCCTTTAAACCAAACCAACATGCTACACAAACAAAAAGCACCACCCTTCTACAAGCACTTTGAGTATCAAAGGTTTTATTCAAATAAAATAAATTAAGATCTTGTTTGGTTCAAGCTTTGTGACAGGTATACACAGCAATTAGTTTTTTTTAAATAAAGATTTGCGTGTGGGCCTGGTTCCTGAGGCTCTCATTGAGTCACCTGAACCTTGTCTTATGCTGTAGTTTTACTTTTTGTATGTTAAAATTTGTTCCAAGAAAATTCCAATACCAGTGCTCCCAAAAAAAATTTAAAGAAAGGTATAAATGAAGCACAGAAATAAATATTTTGAATATACATGGTGAAGTAACATACTTAACAAGAGAGAATTAGGATAATCAGCAAAAGTCCCCAAAATATATTTCTATACATTATGACAAGTTTGACATTAAAGCAGAATAAACCAGCATTTTTTCCTTATATTTAGTAGCTTTAGTCATGGCTCAAAGTGGGACAAAGCTGGGAAGTGCAGGTTGCACTCTGGGTTTTACAGAGCCCAGCAGGTGCTTTCTGTGGGGATGGGGCTGAGCTTTGGCAGAAAATGAAGCAGCCCAATGTGTGTTAAGCAATTTTCCCTCCAAGCCAGGTGTCCCTGCCTCAGCAGCCCCTGATTCCTCCCAGAGAGTGAATGAATGCCAGGACACAACTCAGAGCACAGCTGGCATGTGAAGGACTTTTGGTACAGAACAAAATGACCCAAACATTTTTAAAGTATCCTAAATATTAAGGTAGAACTTTCCCAGGTCATTGTTATGAAAGAGTCTGTTGTTTCAAATGCTGAATTTGGAAGGACCTGGGTTTTATCCTGCTGTGACTCACAGGGCAGCAAACCTGACTGAGGCAGGTGAGTTAAGGCTCAGCACGTGTTAAGACAAGAAAATTGAGTTGTTTTATGCTAATAAATTCCTTCATGCCTTCAGGTCACTTCTGTTTAACCACACTCTCAAGATGACAAACTCCAGCTCAAGGCCAGCTGCTGATTTTCACTAGCCGTGTTTTCCCAGGGAATGAGTCAGACTAATTGAAATGTCTCTAATTCTGTGCTCTTATTGCTTCATCTAAATCCTCCACCACTTCCTGCAGCTTCTGTAGGTGGGGGTGGACATTCTCCTCCATCCATTCCTCTATAGCACACCTGGGGAAAACTTGCTCCATGGCTGCTTGCAGGTCTTGCACCACAGCACTCCACTTGGAGAAGAGCCTGAGCAGAAGTGAAAAGAAGAAATAATGGCATTGGTAGGTGAGCTCTGCCCCAGGGGAGGGTTGCCTTACTGCCTTTGGAAGGGAAAACTGTCCTTAAAACCACTTGACAGGAAAAGAAGCTTCTATTACAGGAGCCCAAAGGACTTGATTTGGTTCAGATGGCAAAAGCTTGATGCTGTTTCTGTTTAATTCCATTAATTTTGGCACTTTCCTCATGCCAAGAATTTTAAAGTACCAAAAAGTGAGCTCAGAAAAACACTTTGCACATTTTAAGTGTAACTGAAACCCACTGTGAGACTTGTTGGGAATTTAATTCTGGGTTTTATCAGAAAGGGAGATGAGGCTGGAGTGGATGTTCATCTTAACACAGAAAATAAAATGATAAATGAACCCTTTAGCATGAATTGGCAGAATGTCTGGGACAAGTTCTGAAATGCCCATGGTGACAAGGGGAAGGGCCTGCCTTTATTCCAAGCCCCTGGGCCACTGCTGAAGGTGCAGCAGGGCTGTAACTCCTGAAACTCCTTGTTACAGGAATAACAAGGGAGAAGCTTTTGGATTCCAATTTTGTACTGGTTCCCAGAGAATTCATTCAACAGAAGGCAAAGGTAAAATTAGAACCATAGGATGGTTTGTGTTGGAAGGGAACTGTGAAGATCATCTAGCTCCAACCCAAACATGTTGTATAAAAACAGATTATGGATGCTTTGATTCCCACTGATGTTTCTGAGATAATTCTAGCAGAGGTAAGGGCTCACAGCTCTCTGGACCTGAGTGCCCAAAATATCTCAGACTTTATTTTCCCTGGAGT